TAAAAAACCTCCAGATGGGGCGCTAGTGGCTTGGATGCACATGAAAAGAAACCAAAAAACCACTCTGGTGACATCCTTACATGCTTTTTTATTTACAATCTCGTCCCTGCTGCTGGCACTCGTTTTCACATGTGTTGTCATTCTGACCTGAGCTCGTGCTACCGTGGCGTCTCTCGTAACTAGGTGACCATCAACCAATTTTTTAGAGGATGACCAATGGAACATCCATTGCTGCAGCTCCGATGCAAGTTTATAGAGAAAAGTAAAAAGCACTGCAGTGTTTGGGTGCCCTGTGTTTGTCTAAGGTCATTAGTTTGCCATTACTACTAAAATGTGTATATTAAATACAAAGTGTGAAGCAGATTGGTTAGTTCTACTTGCATGAATCGCGGTGCGCTCGAGGCAATCAGAAAAGTTTAAATGTTTTTAACCTAGGTGTGGCTGGAAAATACACGGGCGTCAAGTGCACGCCGCTTGCACAACATGTGTTTGTCGCTTCATTTGTAAGTCACACGCCTCCATTGGAAATGACAAACTTACACCCCAAACTTATTAGCACTGCTTCCAAGGCGCGATCAGCAGCCACATTTTAATAAAACTATAGCGCTTCATACAGAAACTTCATACTGACATTTTTTTATCGATAATGATAATGGTGTGTGGTCAGTAAATATTGGTATACCAATTTTATTGCCCAGCCCTACATTAAATAAATAAATGATTTTAAAACATAGCTGATAAAATAAAAAATAAAACAAATTTTTTTTTAGGTAAATGTTATATCGTAAGAAATATGGTTATTGTAATACTCAGCAACAATATCCTATATTTTTTGTATTGTATTGTGCAGCCCCATTATAGGTGTTAAATTAACATCACAGTACATTGTGTGAAACAATTTTAACACTTCACAATACAGCTGCATCTGTGTTGCATATGCTTTTTCTTCTTAATCTTAGTTAATTTTCCAGCGCTAACTAATACAGCTTTTGATTATAATAATGTTATAGTATTTTTTTAACAGTAAACTATAAGTTTCTAAGCTGAAGCTGACAAAGATAAATATATACTGGATTATTACTTATTATACTAGACTATAGCTCACTGATGATTAATTTAGCTAATAGAGCTTAAACTTCCTTGAGCACTGAGCAGTGTTACCAAAACAACTATGAGTCAGACCAATTCATTTAGTTTGAGTTAGGGTTACATTCTATAAATACACTTAGTCCCACTTTATATCACGTGGCCTTAATTATGATACGCTTAAATCAGAATATAAGTGCAATGTAAATATTGTGTTCATTCTGCACATCACCCCTGGTGCTCATGGTGTGGGATATGGGTATGGTTAGGGACAGGTCTGGGAGGTTGGGTAAGCTTAAGATTAGGTTAAGGAAAGGGATGGGTCAACAGTGTAATTACTGTAAATATGTAATTACATAAATTAATTACAGGTGTAATTACAAGCAGATCATTTTTCAAATATTAGTACAATGTAAAAACATGTGGATACATAATAAGTGCATTGTACTAAATGATTGATTTAAAAGTAAGCACATAGTAATTAAGGCCACCTAATATAAAGTGTGACCAATGCTTTATATGACCAATAAGAATTAACAAGCAAAATGAACATGCAAACATCCTTTTCTAACATTGGCAACAGGTTAATAACTTTATGGTTTTATTTAACCAAAGAGGAAATTTTCTTTTCATAGCAAATCATACAGTGCTCCCTGAGGCTGTGCCAGATTCTCTACCACAACGATTCTGCTGTGGTTAGATGTAGGGCTGGGCGATTAATCGAAGGCGATACTGCATTTCAGTTAAACCAGCTCTGTTTAATTAGAAGGAGCAGCGTTTGATACACAAAGCCATAGTACACTAACAAGCTACGCAAAAGATCACCGAACATTTAAACAGCACAAATCTGAAATCTAGGAGAATCACTCTTCAGCGATTTTACAGTTGTCGCTTCTGAGTGCTTTATGTCTTTGTGTTGATGCTGATTTGAAAGCATGTGAAAATACCACATTTATTACCATGTTATAAATTCATAAATATTTGGGCATTTGGCTTGATGAATGGTTGGGTTTTAATATTCATATAGAAAATGTTGTAAAGAAGCTCAGGCCTAAATTGGGTTTTCTTTTTCGTATTAAGAAGTGCCTTCCTCTCGAAGCAAGAAAAAGAATTATCTAAAGCTGTTTCCTTTCAGTGATTATGGAGATGTAGTTTATATGCAAGCACACTTGTCATAATTAAAAAAGCTGGATAGTATAGACTGGGATGTCCATGTCCGATCACGTGATCAGAAATCAGGCCCAAATATCAATGTATATAAATATGTATTCTCAATATTTTATAACACATAAATAGTTATGGGGTGGCACAGAGATGGACCTTTTGCTTGACTTCACACAGAAACAGCAGTATGTGCCACATGACATCACTTTGTTGCATAGATGCTATTGGTTAAATGCCGGCAAAGTAGAACACAAAAGCAGCTTGAAGCAGAAAGCGTGAGTATGTCTACGGTCTGAAGGTATAATAAAGTTGATGACGACAACATTGCTATAACAAACAGTGAGATTTGTAAACTTATGATTGCTTGCTGGGCGTTTTAAGTTGAGGTGCTATTTGTTTTTTATATATATATATATATATATATATACTGTTGCACTGAAGTCCAAAAGTGAAGAATTGACTTTATTTATTGCTTGATTGATCCAACTACCTCACAGAAGTGCTCTTTTTGTTAACAGCGTTGTTGAATGTTAAACTAAGTTGAATTAAATAAAAAATAAAGAACATCCTGGATCTGTTTCTTCGCTTTTCCTTATTATTTTTTATGTATCGGATCAGTATCGTTAGCAGTAGATACTCTAAATCAAATTAATTGGATCTGATTGGGACAGTCATAGTATATATCATGCTGCAATATGATTTGTGATGAATGCATCTTCATGTACCCATTATTGTATTTTGTGCAAAATGGTTAGTTGGTTTTCCCTGCACCAAAGGAGAAAAATGAATATGCTTCTATTCACTGCTAGGGCATTATTGGGTAAATTGCCATCTTATATTTGTCATCTTTTATCATATTATACTTTCATGTAGCTATAGTACATTAAATTCTTATAAATCACATGTAACTGTTCCGAAACGAAATGCAGAGTGTAATCATATTAGAAACAATTCCATCACAAAATATATTTAAATATCGTTTGAAGTCTTACCTGGAGGAATCATGTGAATGTTTAGTGTAAATTTTCATTTGTGATATTTTATGTATGTGTATTTTTGTATCTGAATCTTTTTTATACTGTTATTTTGGCCAGAACCCTCTGGTAGAAGAGATGCATATCTCAATAGGAAATTCCTGGTAAAATAAAGGATAAATTTAAAATAAAATGCATTTACTCCAAGCTCACCTCATAACTTCAGTCAAGTGTTTAAAATTACAAATTATTTGAGTTGATTTCATAGTTGTGTGTTCATTAGACATGCTGAATCAATAAAAGTAGTAAATCCTGTTTCCTATCTGCCTGTTGCACAAAGCTTGTTTTGGGGTTTTACCCATGCAGGTTCAAGTTCACTTTGAGAAAGAACTTACTTTATGGTAACTTATTTTACACAGCTAAGCTGCTCCGGAGCAGATTTTATTTTTGGGTTAGAAATTGTAAAGTGCAAACCCAAACTTTACTCTGCTTTGAGTAAAGTGACATACAGTATATATTTGATGCTAGAAAACCCCTCCAAGTCCAAAACCACTCAAAGTTAAATTTTAAAATGTTTTAAGCTAAAAGCACGTGTGGGTTAAAATTGTCTTGTGCTGCTAATAATGCATTTACATTATATGAATTATAATTCTATGGAACTTATGGAACTATTACCACAAAATTCAACCATTCTCTGCATTTAGTTTTCTTATTAGACAACTTTTACACACATGTAATGAGTTATTTATATAAGTATTGATTTTTCACACTAATTTCTGTTTTTAATTGTTGGAGCTGTTACTGAAGAAAATATGTCAGTTCCTCAAGTCAATCTCCAATATTGCTTTTTAAGGGTTCCTGCTCTTTACAACCAGTGCTTTTCAATGACTTTTACAGTTTTTGTGAGAAATGTTTGGAATCAAGAACTCGCCAAACAGTAATGGATAAAGCATATGACCTTTTTAATCAGAAATATAGAAAATTTTCCCAGGTCAAGGGAATTCAACTTCAAAATGTAAAAAATCCACGAGTTCAATCAATTGCCTTTTAAATCTATCCTTCTTCTCTATTCACTCGCAGATGGAAAGCCCAGTGGCTTTGTTTGCTCAGTCTCTACAGCGCATACGATAAGCCTCCAGTGCACTTAGATTCGGTCACACTAACATATTCATTTCCTGTACAGAGACCATTTGTGTCAAGAAGCAAACCAGTAACTTCCACTATCTAACAGACATTGCCTAAGGGTTGCTGCTTCAGCAGTATTTATTGTATTAACTTTCATTAGGCTAAATGTGCACCATGTTATCCGTGTTCAGGAAGATTTGGGAGCTCAACACCAGACCCGACTGGCACCTCGTCTTTTGCTTAACAGGACAGATGTTTGCGCTTTAATACTTGAAACAAACGAAATGAGGCTTTAGATGTGCGCAAACTAGTTCAGCATTCGAACTTTTTCCATAAGGCTGGAGCACAGTCCATGTCGACATTATCGATAATACAGGAACAGTGTACATTTTCAGTCAGGAATGTATTTGCTTTCTCTCCGAACATAACTGATGCCCTGCAGCCATGAAATCAGACCGGTAGAGATAAACAGACTCTAGAAGCACTCGTATAACCAAAAAACTAAATAAACCACCATGAACCATCGAATATTAAAGTTTTAAAGGAAAAACAATGAGCATCTCTGTTCGCTCAGCTTCCCTCGGGAGTTCAGGTAACTGAACTCTAACAGTTACAGGTATCGAATCCGCCAAAGTCAGAAACTTCACTCACCTGGATGTTCTCTTCCGCGGCTAAACTCGGTTGTTTGATGCTGAAGCACACAACGAGAAGAATATAATTTTGTCCTTCAGCTCGGTGTTTGGTTGTAATATCTTGTCTAACTGTCCTCTCGCAGAGACTCGCGCTCAAGAGACTCGATGATCACAAAACTGTGCACGCGCTACGGAAACCACCATGTCTGTTTTGCGCGCGCCTCCCCGCGTCCAAGAAAAAAGATCTGTAGTGTCACTCTGAACTACACTGTTGATGTTCATTAACAGAATAAATCGTGATGATGAACGTTATACATGCTAAATATAATTTTATAAATCGTTATTATGCAGATTTCTTAATTAACGGTTTAAAATACAGCACCGACATGGCTGAAAACTTAATAATGTATTTCAACAACATGTTCAAGATAATCTGTCCTAGTAGCCTTCGTTAAACTTCACAGACGATGAAAACTATTTCTTGAGAAAGATTTTAGGCTAGTTATTGTTTTATTATTCGTAAAATCAAAAGGTAACTGCTTTATAAAACTGAGCTAACAAAATCCAGTTGTATTTAAACAAGCATTAACATACATAATGTAGCCAATTCTTGTGTTAATACGAATGCGACTTGGTGCAGCCTTACTTCATATGCTACTTCATAACACGTTTCATTTTATATCTTGAAAGTAAAATATTTTCTTTGAACTTCTTTGTACAATACACGAACATGCTTTGCTATTATACGTTTGAAAGTGGGCTACACTGTTGCATAATAAATACATCCTGATAAAAGCTTTAAGATTTCTTTTATTTTTCCCTCCACATAAGCGTTCATTTAATGCCACTGAACGCTCTTATGATAACGTAGTGTTGTTTATAATTGCATTAAAAGGATGGGAAAGCATTTGCAAGAATATTGTATATAACACTGCTCTCTCTTTTTTTAAAGTGCCTTTTATTGTAGATACAGAGATTTCTTGTGATTGAGTTCAAAATTGAGCTTTATTCCCTTTCCATTCTCACAAAAACATACAAAACATGTTGTCTTAATAGTAGCCTTTTATAATGAGTGACAGTCTCAAACAATGACTCAAGACAATTTCTTTCCAAAATAAAGATTAACCATGAAATATTATATAAAAATAATAAAATATATATAATTGTTTATGCATATTCAATATTCATTCATTTTTGGGATTTCCAGATTTAACATAGATGTGACTAATGAGAAGTCGATAAAAATGTACAACTGTGTGAAATGTGAAAGCTGCAATTGTGTGCTTTGTGCATATCAGAGAATCAGCTGGAAGTAAAGCCTACACTTCAGACAGGCACTACAAGTAGGAAATGTACAAAAAAAACGTATAATTAAACAGTATATTTGCCTCCTTTTTTGATTATTTGGTTATTCTGCCTTTGTAAAGTGTAAAATGACTGCTCACAACTGATACCAAACCACTGCAACATTATCTCCATAACTATATATACAAATCACAAATCACATAAATAGCAGAGTATGACTATTTTAACATGCCAGAGACAATAGAGATGAGAATAAAATAAACATCAAAGCCGGTAGAGCAGTGGTGTCCAAACTCGGTCTTGGAGGGCCGGTGTTTTGCATAGATTAGCTCCAACTTCCTTCAACACACCTTCCTGGAGGTTTCTAGTATACCTAGAAAGAGCTTGATTAGCTCCTTCATGTATGTTTAATTGGAGTTGGAACTAAAATATGTAGGACACCAGCCTTCCAGGACCAAGTTTGGGCACCCCTGCTATAGAGCATAGGTCTCAAACCCGATTCCTGGAGGGCCGCAGCTCTGCAGTTTTGCTCCAACTCTAATCAAACACAGCTGACCCAAATAATCAAGGTGTCTTAAGCTGCGTCACACTAGAGTTTGAGCTTGCGAAATTCTATCATATGGTGCTGTGAAAAGGGGCGGGATTGAACAAGATGATTAGACATTAAAAAAGCAAGCAATTGGTCAATATTTCAACTTCCTGTTCAGAGAGGTCATGTTTTGATTCTCAATTGGTCTCACGCAGTCAACTCGGATGCGATTTCGCAGGTCAGAGTTCACCAAGCTTGAACTTTCCAACGCAGCGATCTGCCAAACTGGATGCACGACTTTGCATTTCCGGTCTGCTGCATTCACATACGTATGAATGGAAGTCTTTGGGGAGAAAAGTCCAGTGTGACCCCAGCTTTAGACTACTAAAGACTATTAAGCAGGTGCGAGTTGGAGCTAAACTATGCAGAACTGCAGCCCTCCAGGAACTGAGTTGGAGACCATTGTTGTAGAAATTGCTGGACTAACGCTCAGCTATTCAGCAATGGGTGATGCACCTCCAACATTCAAAAAGCAGTTACACATGGGATTTGAACCGATTTGTATTGTAAGTCAGTTCTCGATTGTAAGTCACTTTGGACTACAAGATCTGCCAATTTAATACATGTGAATGACTTGAGCTCACTCAATGCTAAAAATGGTGCACCGTCATTAAACCTTTAGTAATGAGTAAAATAAGCTCAACTTAACATGAGATAGCAAAGATTTTCTATTGGAAAATGTCATTTTTAAAAGGAAATTTAAACTGCCCTCAGTTAAACCAATGAAGACAAGTAAAATCAGAATACACTATGTAAACTGCGAGACATCTAGTCTCTCACAAAATGACTAAAAATGTGCATTAAGTTGAATTCTGAAGTACAAGTTGACTATAGAGTACCATACATTAGCTCAGCTCTGTAACCGGCTTTCAATTATGCCCATATCAAGCAACATATATTTAAAAGAAAATGAAGTATACATTTTTAGTACAGTTTATCAAAAGCAAACTGGAAGGTTGAGCAGAAATTGCACGGAATAATATGTTGGATAGTTGTGCTGTAATTTTTATTGCATGGATGATCATGGATACATGAAGTAAACCTGTGTGAAGCACTGGCTGTGGCACTAATGATCCTTCAATTACATTTCTCTCACTCAATTTCAGTGGCATCCATATCTGGCTTTAAGACAAACTGCTGGCTTTGATACTCCATAATAGCATCATAAACACTCAATACAGGTGGAGCAACTAATCTCATCTGATCAAAAGCCATTGTCTCTCTTAAACTACACCAGAGATCTGTGAGCAAATCTAATTAAACAAATCTTTCCTAAAAAAACGAAACAAAAGTCAAGTCAGAGGGGAATTACAGTGTATGAGATAACCTTGGGTTACACCGCCACCTGCTGTTTATCTGAAGAATTTTTGAGAGAACAGGCATTCTTGCTCAATAGATCGAGATCCAGTGGAATGAAAGTAAATAAAATTAAATTAAATAAACAGAAAGTAAAACAAAATAAAAAATAAATCACACAAAAAATAAGAATAACAATTCACCTCATCTCCCTTTACGTAGGCCAGCCACAAATTAAAATATTTAAACCACCTCTTCTATATCTGTTAAAATAGTACTCTCAGAAATAAAGTTGGTCACTCAGTTGTAATCAGAAAATGGGTTGTTGACATTCGAGCGAAAAAAAAAAAAAAACATTTCTATATATAGCACACTACATGACAAGCAACAATCATGTTTTGCCACTCAGCCCATAAGACAGAACACAAAAACATCTGACCGCTAGAATCAGCATATAGAAATCCACTGTCATTGATAAAAATAAATACATTAACAAATACAACTTCTTTTATGATGGGCAGATCATTGAGAGAAACAGTCTGAAAGCCACAGCTGTAGTGTTCATTAAATTTCCACATGGATGCACTACACTCCTCTTTCACAAATCTGTGCGTGTTTCCAGATATGCAGACACTCTTCCGCTGCCCGACCACAACATTACACTAACAACACAACAGCAGGAGAGGCTGATGATGGGAAAAGTTGGCAATTGAACCCAAACCCGTACATATAAGCTGTAGGAGCTGTGTATTTAGAGCATGGCAAAATTTGAACAGTACTATAAAAAGTATTACGAAACCATTTGATCATATTTTTTGGGGATTTTTCTTTGTAAATTTTTTTTTGTATCCTTTTGTTTTTTTCTTGTACAAATATTTTTAGAATCTGCGTACATGACATGAAAAAAGAACCACTCTTCAAAAAAGAAAAAAAACATGCATAATTCCTCTTGTACTAATTACATGTTCATGTTTTTTAGACATTTAAAAATCTTTTCGATAGAACTTTTTTTGTAATTTGAGTCTTGTTTTTTTATTTCAGTTTTCCTCCGCGAGGCTAAAGTCCAGGACTCTTCAGGTATTGCTGGAGTTGAATAGTTTCTCTGGTCTACATTCTCTGGTCCTCCAGTGGAGCAGTGCAGCTCCTCTATAGGCAGTGAGCAGAAGCTGTGCTGAAAGCCAGTGAAGTTCAGGCCTAAACTCTCCTGCATGATTTCCAATCCAATGGCCGTGCAGCCCCACTTCAATTACTCTTATTATTATTTTTTTGTTCTTTTCTTTTTCCAGCTTCATAGTCAGACGCATCCCTTGAACAGCGGGACAGGAGAGATGAATGCTAAGAGCAGCAGCAGAGCTTCAGAGCTGCTCCTATCTGCACAGGTCCTCATGTGCTGAGTCTCGCTGAGGCTTCCTCTTCTTTACATTGGACTTCACAGACTTGCTGCTCTGCTGGATCTTGTTGGGGTTGTTGTGCGGCCCTTGAGTACTTTTGTTAGCGAGCTGCCGGCTCTGGATAAAACACAAGATGACATTTTTATTAGGGTTATGAAACTCAATTGTCAATTTGAGTCAATGATTTAGATGTATTAATTTCAAATATTATTAATTTATAAATAGATCCCAGATTAATTAGGAAACTGGAAAACGATAACACATGAAACTTCAAAATGCATTAAATTAAAAATGTTAAAAGAGGATTCAGATATGAGATGTTCATTTTAGAGTTAGCATCAAACTAAAATGTGAAAAAGTGAGTATATACACAAACATACCTTATGAAAGTTATATTTCAACATTTGATTGGTTCATTATTATGATGAAATTGAATTTTATTTTATTTTGAATAATTAAAAACTTACTGACAAATGTGCAATATTGAGAGGAGAGTGGTAATCAGGGAGTGACATTAACACCAGCCCAATGCTGGTAGATTTTAGCTGTGATGGGTTAGACGGACATTAGTCACTTTGGCTGAAAATCATTTTTAAATTGCCATTGCTGCCTTGATACTAAGGATTAGAATTTTAGTTTAAGACTGTTTGTCAATGTGTGGCAAATGTGCTCTTAGAATCGAGAAACAGCACAACTGATAAGTGTTCGTGAGAGCAAAAGAAAGCAGGTGAATAGCAAATGAGAGAATGATCAGGCGCACAGTGAGACACAGTTGATCTTCACTCACTGACGCACAGCTGATGTGATGAGAGCGCTTAAAAGCTCCCGTGTCCCATTTCCTTGTGCGAAGCAACCGTGCCTGAAAACGTAACTGGTGCAATCGCTTCTCTTTAAAATAGACTGTAAAAAAAGCATTGCTCATGCACCCAGAGTCCTGCTACTTTCAAAAGCTCGAGATTTTTTGTAAGCAACTATAGTTGCAGCTTTCGATTTATTTTTTAAACAGACCATTAATGAGCCTAACGCTAACAGAGTATATGCGATTATCCTTTCTTTATCGCACACAGAATGTTTTACACCTGCTTTCTTTTTGCTTAATCATTTTGTTAATGTGGTTTAATTATCATGCTTTACAATAGCATTGCTTTAATAGGAGATTAACTCTCCATTTAGCTATAGTAAACTGGTGATTTGGGACCTTTAGCCTGGACAGACTGCTGTGTATAGTATTAGATACATGACAATAACTTTTAGGAAATGTCAATTGTTTTTTGTCAAAATGTTTTTTAAGAGCAGCTTTGGTGTATGTATATTGCTATATTTTTTCTTGTTTTGACCCATTTTTTTTATTGTGGCAAATAATTAGTTTGGTGTGGTCAGAGAAAAAAAAAGGTAGATCCTTAGTGTTGAGCCCTGAAAAGTCAAATAAAACGAATTGCAACGAGAGACTATATAACCACAATTTGCTCATGCTAATTGAGCAAGGTCACAACACACAAAAAACATGATTGAGGAGGCATGTGGACATAACAAAACATTTAAATCAAGAAATTTTAGCATGCCAAAGTCGAATTTGTGCATAGAACATGTATTTTTCCAACAACAAAACTGTGGCTAGTGAAAATGGCCAGTGGCTAGTAATGTTGGAAAACTACTAGCCAAAGTGGCTGGTGATCAAAAAAGTTTTTGTCAAGCCCTGGTGGTAATTATAAAGACTTAAAATGATAATTCATATTTTGGGTCTGCACTAGAATGCTTTAAACAAATGTCAACAATTAATTCTTGCTCTAAATATACCTGACAGCTCTTTTTTTTATGTAAAAAAGAATTTGAATGATTTTTTGCAGAGTGAAAAGAACTAAAATACTGTTTGTGAAAACAGAAAAACATGCAGCAACAATGCACCTTGTCAGATCTGACTTGTTTTTCTTTACTAAAATTACAAACCAATTTTCTTGAAATGTTCTTTTAGGGGTTAACAATAAACAACGTAGCTGACAAACTGAAGCGATAATCTTAAATACACTTTAGTTGTTCATTCCACCGGGCTCTTACCTTATTGCCCTTATGAGTGGGGGTGGAAATGGATGCTGAATGATTTTGTGATCTGTGATTAGAGATCCTTTCTGTATTCTCACTGTAGGTACTCCTTCCACCCAAAGCTTTGGCTGTCTTATAGGGAGTCCCATCAGAGTCCTACAGAAAGAAAACAATTTGAGACAAACATAATATTTCTCCAATACATACAGAGTGAGCCTATATAATTATAAAGGTAAAAGAAATTATATAAGGTAAAAACATGGCAACATCAAACTGAAATGGATTCAAATAAATAGATAGTTTAATAAGAAAACAATCATGATTATTTGCAGAAAGAATTTTATTTACTTGTTTCAACTAGAAAATGTTCTTACCGCATCGCTTGAGCTAGAGGCCGTTGAAGACGGGGAAGAGGAGGATGACGACGGTGATGAAGGAGAAGAAGGGGAAGGAGACGAAGAGTTGGAGGACACTTTGCTGCGGGGGACAGATGTACACACCACACTGTCCTCTGAAAGGTTATTATTACACTCATCAAGCTCCTCACGCTCAACCAGCAGTGTGAGATCATTGGCTGTGCACAAACAGAGAAGGGTTCGTCAGTTTTCTAGAGCGAGAGACAGATTTAAAGAGCTGATGGAGGATGTCACACCATTGCAGTTGAGAACGGGCTCCTTGCTGCTCTTCTGACCCCACTGCGCACTGATCCAGTCACGATACTCCACCACCTCCTGTGTGACGCGGATTATTCGACCCAGAATACTGTGAGAGGAGAGGATAAGACCAGTCATCAACCCTATCCCGAGCACATCCTGAGTTTAACACATTTCTGTGGCAGAATTTGATTCCTCCTTTTCTTACTCTGGGCATGTTTGTGTGTACGGATCAGTGCTTACACTTCACATACAGTGACACTTAATATTAAGCTAAACAATGAATAAAGAATAATTAAATGATGGTAGATTACAACTTAATATTTGGATTATAACTTAATTTTCTTGCACTATTTTGCATCATTTAGAACCAATAAAAAAAGAATTCACAAACAACTATTAATACAGTGGTCCCTCGCTACAACACAGTTCACTTTTAACAGCCTTGCAGTTTCACTGATTGTTTTCGTGCAATTTGACATGCTTTCTTTTTAACAGCGCATTGTGTTCTGCGTCCTGACTGGCTGTAGACCATTGTCAATCAATCTTCTCCATGCTGTGTCGCCTGTACAGTACAGGATGCGTTCAGCTTGCCAAATGTATATAAATCTTCGTTCGCTAGCAGTGTGATTCTAAAGTGCTGTACTCTATGTTTGCAGGTTTTCTCCCCACAATGTCGACAAAACGTTCTGCACCGTCAAATGCATCTGCGATAGCACCCAAAAGGCAGAGGAAGATGCTAACCATCACACAAAAAGTTGCACTTCTGGACATGCTAAAGGAAGGTAGAAGTTACGAGGTTGTACGTGGCTTTGGTTTTATTCCATAATACTAAACTGATTTTTCTAGGAAAGTTTGAACTTTGAGAGAGTTTAAACACAAGAGAAAAGTATGAAAATGTTAACGCCTGTCTGAGGAAAGTGTTGAAGTGTGTAGTGAGGGGTATTACAGACTTAATCTATAGTAATTGTGAAAAAAAATGAACCCTACTACTATTAACATAACCCTATTGCGGGTTATTTTTAGAACATAACTCAGTTTCAGTCCAATGACCTTCATAAGGTTAGTATATGAACTGTAAAACTGACAGCAAATGTTCTTACTTTCTTGCAATCTGTAAAAATGGTAAGCTTGTCTGTTTTAGGTTTGAATATAAATATAAATAAAACATAATTTATAGAATTTGTCAAAATTATTAGCTTGTGCATCTTAGGTTTGATAATATATAGAATATAATATATAAAACATTTGTCAAAACTTCAACTAGTCTATTTAAGCTCTAAATATATAGAATAAATATATTCAGTAAATATATCCACTGTCACTTTTACAGCACAGTGCATCAAAGAACAGTTTCACATGTTTTCCCTTAAACCACAAGCGCATAGAGCAGATTGATGCTTTCAGTAGAGATGGGCATCTTATTTAGTATTGCAGTCGATAGTGATGACTGTGCATTAACATCCGTCAACTATTTAGGTACAGCAAAGAGTGGTGTGAACTAATTTCGCCAGTGTACTTTTTACTCAAATGTATGCATTCATAATATCCATCTCTCTGCCTGCATAAAGTCTACATATTGCTTCAAAACATTTACAACTCTCTTTTGTCTCACCTTTCTGACTTGTTGTTGGGGTAGTACTTGGCAATTGGGGATACGGCATGACTTAAGATGACATAAGCGTAATCAAAAGCCTCTTTCACCTGCATTGCCCCATATGAACTTCGCCCAACATCATTTCCTATAATGCAGTCATACAGAAACAGCAATCAGATCATCCTTTCACAAAAACTCTGATGACATTTTCATATCAGTTCAAATGTAAAGCAAGGGTCAGTTCTTAGTATTGATATGAACTTTTTAGATACAAACACGTTCATGCACAATAATCGACTTTAAAAAAAAAAAAAAAAAGGACAATAATTTATGCAGTCATAAACGTGTTTACTGCTAATATACCAGTGATTGACACCTTTACCGATATCAAAATGCTTTATTGATGCAAAATTAATTTATACAGTTATTACTTACGCCGATTAACATTTTTTTTGAGTAGGCCTAGGCTACTATAATAAAGAAAATCTTCTCTAAATGTAGAAGTAAATACATTGATATGGATTGAAATAAATGATGATTACTTGACACATAAAAGTGTAAAGCCTGCAGCTCACAACAAATGTGGAAAGTTATTTGCGTGTCATATTAAACAAACTGTTTACAGCTAAATTAATGTAATTTTGCTCACATGGATAATTGAATATTATTCAGATGATGACATTACGCTGCTGTGCCATCAGCCAATCGATGCATTGCTGATCATAATTTCGAGGATTGATGGATCTGTCCTTAACATCTGCAATCGCAGCAATCTCAGATCAGTTTATCCAGATATTTTAATCTGATTCTCAAACTTGTGTGAAGAACCAAATTAGTTAGAAATCAGTTATCAAGATTAAAAGATCCAGAATCTGCCAAAATCATCTTAGATCATTTAATCGAGGTACGAAGAACAGACCCCAGGTGACTGTTTGAAGTGTGTCAGTGTGCGTTTACCTGGCTGCAATGGATCTTCAATGTAAAGCATAGACGGTCTGTATCCATCCAGCATGCTTTTCTGCACTTCATCTTTGGCCACATATGAGCCTCCGTCTTTGATTCTGATCCCTGTCTTCAGGTAGTTAAAATGCCGTCCATAGAGCTCAAAAAACTCAATCAGCAGTACACCCAAGTTTGGGTTTGAGCTGCTCACGTCCTCTCTACAGTGCAGCTGGCAAATAAAACAGCAACAGTAATTTGACTAGATTGTTGGCATATGGGCATAAAAACAATCATCACTGAATGAGTAATTTTTCAACTATAAAACAAATCTGCAGAGGTGTATGCCAAAATGTAAGATTCTGCAATCTGATATTCACAAAATATCACATCCTTCTTCAGAGTGTGAGAAGTATGAATTTAAAGCTCTATTTAAAGCTTTTCTGCTCACCAAGGCTTTACAAAGGGATGTGTTACATAATTTGCATACATAATTTGTCTGTTTCTATACAACTTTTTATTCCACAAACTGATGTGAGAGTTGATTTTTTTCTTTGGGCTTTTGCAAAAAATTAAACTGTAAAAAACCTTGACTGTAAAATGTTGAAAGATGACAAGAATTTTAAACCTGACTTCATCCAAATGTTCAAATGTGTGTACTAGACGTGTGTAAATCAGCATGTATTTAAAACAATAGCTCACTGACAAATTTGAATAAAAACAATAAACATAATATTAGATATTAAAACTATTTGGTTATTATTATTATTATTAGCTATTTTCACCCTATTCACTTGCACAGTCTTATAATTTTTAATAATAAATTAATTAGTTTCTATTTTAATTGATTTCACCTATTTTAATTTAACTTACTTATGGAAAATCTGAATTATCCACAGCCAGTTCTCCAATCTTCAGTGCCATATTATTATTCAGAAATTCTTATCATATGCAAATTTGATACCATATTTAAGAACCACAAGATTCTTTAAAGAATAAAAAGCTTAAATAAACACCATTTAAGCTTAAACAAACATTCAACAAGTATTTGTTCCAAATGAAAATCCTTTGTTATAATGTCACACTCAACTGTCTGGGTGCAGTGCATAATGCAAGCAGCCAAGTAGGATTTATTTAAGAGTACTAGCGAGTGTGTGTGATTCGAAGTAAATGTCTTACCTGTAGGAAGCTGACAGCCATGAGAAACAGACTGTATGATCCGATTCCTCCTGTGAAAACCTCATTCAGCTCTCTCTGCAGTAAAAACTGCTTTAAAACCAGCACCAGGTACGGTAACACAGGATATTGCTAAACAAAAAACACAAGAAAGAAGAAATTAAAAACCTACTTGCATTTTAACACTATACCTGCAACACAGAGCAATTGTTTTACATGCCTCAAGTGAGAATTAATTTATGGTTGCTTTTACACCAATTTACAAAGAACTAAAAAACAAAACACTTTGGGGCAGATGTTTTAGATTGAACTGCTTTTTTTAGATTCGAAGTGCTCTTTCATTTCAATATGCTTACGTACCAAACAAAAATGCAATGTTGTTTTAACCACTGCACCCGAAGGAGCTCAACTGAAACTTTATTTTATGCATCTTTACTTTAAGATCTGTAGTACTGACTCTTATTTCCCTGAATTGGTCCCATTTCAAGATCTCTTCTTCATTATACAGAACATTTCCTTTGCAACAATCACATGAAGCTTCATCTCGTTAAAAAAAAAAATAATTAATTAATCTTGTTGATATAATAAAAACAAAAATTCTGTCCATTTTTAATCAGGAAATCTCATGTCTTCAGTGTTTCAATTGTCGAAAGAAATCAATAAAACCGCGTATAAACAATGTCACCCAACATTAAATGTAGTTTAGGATAGCCATGAAGTCTGGAGAAGAGCATTTCTCTAAATATTTGGACTACATTAGCCCATGTATTGATTATATTTTACTTTAACTGTTAGTGGTTTCAAATAAAACTGTCATGACGGTCATATTTTTAAAAAATAAACTGCAGTACAAGCAGTTTCATAATCAGAAGTAGAACTGCCTTGTGCGAAAGTAATAGGGTTCCATAGTTAGTTTAAAGCAATAGCCAAAGACTTAGCCAACAAATTTGTCATATAAATTTAAATATATTTAAAGACAGAGCCAATTTTGTTCAGTAAACCACTGTTTAATTCTCTTTACCAAAAACAGCAAATCATGTCATTTTTGTGCACTGTTATACCATTACGTGAAAAAAAGCATTCAATCTTCAAAGGCATAGTGTAGTTGTAATGTGTTATTATAGGATCTGGTGAAGATCAAGTGTAGTTTGCTCAGATTAGCTTCTAAAATCTAAACATCTCCATTTTAAATTCTAATTACATTTGAGGCTGCACTTACACTGCATGGCTCAAGAGACTCAATTCAGATTTTTTTTCCCCATGTGGCACAGATCGTACAAGACCCATGTTCGTGTAAGCAGGAAAGAATCACATGGATTCTGACTTACTCAAATCAGATTCAGGCCTTGTTCATTTGTGGAAATGTATCTTATATGAATCGGATCTGTGCCCTTGTGTCTAGTAAAAGCAGGTAGATCGATTTATCACTTATCAATGAGAGTCACGCGTCATAAAAAATAAAAAAAATTTGCGAAGGACATAAAAAATGGAATGTTTTCATTCCAAAACAGACTTCAACAGAGTCCTGCACCTTAAATCTCATACACAAGGACTAAAAAGCTTTGATATTGTCATGTTGCACAAGTATTTAAGCATGTTTAAAGAGAAAGAGAGAGAGTGCAACATCCACCACATAACCAATATAAACTATTACAAAACTGTTGCATATATCATATGCATAAATCACACCATGGACATTACATTAAGATGCCTACAGGTTTAAAAGGTCTAGATTAAATGAAGATGGCCAAATGAGAACTTTGCCATAAACTATAGTAAAATAACAAATCAAAAAAAAATTTAAATAAATTTAACCCTGCAAACAGATTAAATACAGAAATGGAGTAAAGATTTTTTTTTTAATCATCAGCTGTCAGTCAGCGCTCTGTCTTTTTTTCTTGCTCATTGCACCTTTGCAGTGTACTGTGTAAATGCAGACAATCAGATACAAGACACGTTTAAGATATGATGCAATCGGGTTATTAAAAAAAATAAATATTTCAGATACTGTCACAAAATCGGAATTGACCATCAAGATCTGCAGTGTAAATGCAGCCTATAATCCCTTCTAAAAAAATTCAATTTCCCTCGAGACTCTCAGAGAAATAGACAATAAAAACAACTCCACACTCACCTGCTTGTAGTCCTTGATGAGGTTTGCAGCTTTTACACCACTCTGTACATTAAAGCTGATGTCCACTTTCACCTCTGTGTGCGAGTCCATCAACTTAATAATGGGAACCTACAAACACAAAGAGCATTAAATACATGCAGACAGACAACAAATACACTCAAGACACATGTATGACACACAGCAGTGCTTACCGTTGCTTTGTCCAGGACTTTAATAGAGTTTTCATCTGCAACTTTTCTCTTGCGTAGAGCCTCCTCCAGAGTCCAGAGAGGTAAAGTCTCCCAGTTACCAAACACCACCAAGTCTATATCACTGATATAATGACAGAGGAGAAAGTGTCAAAGTGAAGCAAAAAGAAAACATTCTCTTCATCAATAAAATCTTTTAGGGAGCACCAATGTGTATTTCAAATCTGTGATTCAGAACGATTTAGATTTTTTACATTTAATAATAAAAAAAACAAACAACAACGCACCTATGTTACGGATCAGTTTTCTAAAGGTACAACGAGGTACTAAGCCTAAAATGCTTCAGCAACTAGCACACATCTTAGCACATGCAGATTGATTCCACTAAGCCAGAGTTCAGTAATCCAGGTGACGTATAAATGCAGTTTGAGCGGTGTTGAGTAACGAGAGATTGGCTCTCGCAAAGAAAAAAATGCACACACTCAAAATCCCAGGAGACGCGAAGCTAAAAAGTCCAAATTTGAATTTCCTCAATGCAAACACACAAATGTGAACAAAAGCACACACCTGCATATTATAATACTTGCATATTACTTAAAAAGATTTAGAACAGACTTTCGTTTAACTAATAAAACATGGATAGAGAAGGTCATTTAAAAGGATAATTCACTCAAAAGATTGTCATCATTTCATGTCATTCATCAGTAAAAGAGATTTAAGCATGATGAACAATGTTAGCTGTAACCATTGATCTCCATGGTATTTGTTCTTTCTCTACTATAGAAGTCAGTGGTTACAGGTTTCTAACATTTTTCAAAATAACTTATTTTGTGTAAACTATAGCTTTAAGATATTATTCAGATTACTTAGTGGGTAAAAACAAAGTACAAAAATCATAGCATTACCTTGTTGGCAAATACAAGCCAGTGCTGAAGCTCCCAAACACACAAACCTGCCATCAGAAAACAGAAAAAACAAACAGAAACTGTAAAGTCAATCTCCATCATGCAACAGCCCTTCTTATTTTTATATGGAAAACAGGAAAGATGTTCCTTACGTAATGCTCCCAATTCTGACTGTATGAGAGAACAATTGTAAGCAATTGCAAAAACACACTAGGACTGAAACTGATTAGATGTACCCTCACATAAACAAAAGATTTACTTTTAAAATAATTAAAAAACATACATACACATATAAATGATATATAAACTATTTGGCCAAGCACAGATCATAAATCAAGCTTAAAAGCAAACTAAATAAGCAGTGAATTATTAATTCGCACATGAACCTGTACTGTATGTGGTTCAAAAATAGCAGGTCAGGCCTCTCTCTGGTCTGTTGAATAATCTTCTTACAGCGAGACAAACTATTTGTGTTCTTTAGGTAATACTGAGAGGGTAATTGAGAACAATTGATCTTTAGTACTAACCATTAGTGGCTGTTCGCCTGTGCGCTGCTTTCAGCTCATAGAAGAAATTATCGTTTTAGGAGCTAGAACGGCTGACAATAAACATGCATTCCCAAATGACACCAGCTACACAGACACATGCACAGACAAAAAGATAATAATTTGGTTTCCTCAGTCTGAAAATGCAGGAAGACAAATAAAGCACTGAGAGATCCAAATTTATAAACGACTGTGATTAATAATTTGATTGCGCAGTTAAAAAATTACGTCTTTGCTACAAGAGCCTTGCCTAGAAACATGCAGTCTTACATTACTAGACATATTATTATGTCTCCTTGAATCATCCTGACCTCTGAGCTAAATATAAAGACAGTTACAACCATGAAGCATTTTATTTACACAACACGAAGGTCAAGCCAGGTCACTGACACATATTTTTATACAAACAACTTCTTCAAACAGACACAAGCACAATAAAAATCACTTGTGTCTTTTATTTGACTTTCAACACACATTTGGCAAATTTTACCCTTTGCTTGAAAACTTCTGCAAGCTCTTGCCTGCCTTCAAAACTCCAGATTTAACATTAAATAGAAATACTGATCTAAGTGATATAAGCTCTAGGCATGGTCAGGCACAAAATTCTGACAGTATAATAACCTTAGATAAACATATCACGGTTTCACCGTATTGTGATTACTGTTTTAAAATATGTTCTTTTTAAATCTCTGCATATAAAACAAGCTTTTCTCCTATTAAAAACAATACATTTTATTTTTTTATTTTGAAGCAGTAAACATGTTAGGCCAGGGCTGTGCAATTTGGGAAAATATCTAATTACAATTTTTTTTTAACATATTGCAATTTAATTTTATAGTCAATTTAAGTGCTGTTTGTTTTATTTCCTTGTGCTGGCAACAATTACAAATGACTTGTTTTTGTTCTGTGTCTGACTTTAAAACTAAAATGTTTCTATATTACTGATGTGCTTTTATATTAATTTGGCTATTAATGCTTCTGAAGTGGCAGGCGACATCATACCACTCATCTGCACTTTTCTGTTTGTTTGTTTTTATTTTATTGTGAGCATTCCGCGTAGTTCAGTCACACAATTCTGAATGGGCAGTACGAAAATGTGCTTACTCAATTGACTTGCTAAGCCTGGTTTATATTTCTGCGTCAAGTGATCGACGTGACCCATGGCGCAAGCCTTGCGCGTAGTCGTGTATTTGTACTTCTGCACGCTGTTTCTGTTGCTCTGCAATACCACTTGTGAAATACTAGCTGGTAGTGGTTGTGTCTGTGTCGAGTTTCTTCTCTGGTGTTTTGTTTTTTCTGAACGCTTCCTTAAAATGTACAAATGGCTCAAATTTACTCATTTTGAGGCGGGAACCGGCGAACCAGCAACAACTTTAATTATAAGGAAACACAAAACAACAATCTCCACCCAGAGGTCCTTCACGGAATTCCCCACTTGTATCCATTTGCTGCATCGGGCTCGCACTGCTCTCACCTCTGCCCACACTCGTCACCGCTACCAAGCCAACCAATCACAGAGCTTGCGCTATAGGCGCTCATACATTTTTTGAGAGGTGCGCGTCAACGTCACCGATGGCCATTTAAAGGGCTATGTGTTTTTGTTTCCTGTATTGTGGCCTAAATAAACTAGTAATAAAATAAAATAGTAGTCAAAAAAATAAAAAATTACATTTACCATGGGAATGGTATAACAGAACATTTTAGAGGTTAACCTTAACCTTATTGTCTCATGCCTAATAAGCTCACTTACATTCAACTAAAGCAGTACCTCATGTGGTGCTTTGTTTATTGAAGTTTTATTTAAAGGATAAGTTCAGCCCCTAAAAAATAAATAAAGTTAAATAATTCAGTTGTTAATTACTCGCCCTCATATCATTTTATTCTCCAGAGATATTTAGTCATCCTCGCAATACAAAACCTTCCATGTGGCCTCAGCGGTTTAACTGTGATCGGACAAAGCTCCAAAAACACTTATGTGCAGCGAAAAAAAAAACATAAGAACTTCGTTTGCCACTATGTTCTCTTCATTATCAGGTCATCAGGGTGTGCGTTTACTATGGGCAACATATTGCTATTCGTCAGAAGTGCAATATGAAAGCGGTGCATTGCCTGTATTAAACGCATACCCTGATTTGAGGCTGAATATTTGGGTGATAAAGGCAAGGCAAGACAAGTTTATTTGCACATTTCATACACAATGGTAAATTATTTTTATACACAATGGTAAAGTGTTTTACATAAACAAGAATAAAGAAAATAACAAGAAAATAAAAATGATTAAACAAATTTAAAATGATTAAAACAGATAAAAACAGGTTAAAATGTGTTTAAACAGGTTATGAAATAATAAAAAAGAAAAGAAAGACATAATAGTGTGATCTTGTGAATAGTGTAGAGTTGTTTTTACAGTTTTGGAGCTTTGTAGGATTACTGAAGCCACATGGAATGTTTTGACTGTTGTCTAGGGACCATTTCTGTATATGGAGGAGGTAAGAGCCTCTCAGATTCAACCTAAAATAGCTCAATTTGTGTTCTGATGGTGAACAAATGTCTCAGGAGATGTCACAACTTGAGAATGTATCTAATAATAGAACTTTGTATTTTTATGTGAACTAATCTTTTAAGAATAAATAAGCTCAACATATATTAGACTTCTTAAAAAAATTACATTTACATAGGCTTAAACAAAACTATCAATACTAGGCTACTTTACTTATGACATCAATATCAAACTACACATAAATGCAACCCATAGTGTAATTAAACATCGTCCGATATGCGACTAACAACAAAAACAAAACAAGACCCAGAGAAAGCATGTTGATCTCTGATCATAGTTTAGTGCATGTTCTGCAAAAAGTAATCACTAATTTTGCAAAACGAATCCTTTGTTTTTGATGGCAACATTTGAATGTGTGTAAAATTTAGTCAAAGCATGAGTAGTCAAAAGTCATTTTTAACTGTAATATCTAAATCTCTGATTGGCTACTTACTGCATTCATAAGCACAACACATTTTTATGTATGTTCACCCTTGACAATAGTTTAGTTAAACTACAGAGGAATTTCTTTCCCCTATTATCTTGAATTTGACTGAATTGTGACTGGTAAATGTAAGCGTCTCTAATATTCATACAGCTTAAAGACATAAGGTGATTGGACAACAGTCAAATGTGACTGTTCTGAGCAATGCCTATTATAAACATTGCATATAATGCAAATTTACAGTTAAATTGTTAAACATATCATTTTAGATATAGACATAAACTGAGGAAAGGATGTCTTGTATTTTAGATAGGTTCCAGTTACAACTTAATAATGGTGTCCCCCAAGACTCTATAATTAGACCTCTGCTCTTTCCTCTGCATGTCCATGACATTAATGTAAAGGTGAACTACTGCAAGAACAAATTTGATCTGTGACCTTTAAAAGGTCAACTGTAAAACCTGAAAACATGCAAGTGTTTGTATTTATTCGTTGATTACAGGTACCACTTGATTGAAAGAATTAAGCAGGAATAAAGATCACATAATCATCAACAGAAACTAAGCATGGAGGAGTAAAACCAACCTCAGCATTGGGCCACAAGTCCTTGATGACTCTCTGGATCCTGGCCACCACCTCATGCCTCATTTGCTCCTCCTCTGGACGAGGAGATATGTACTCATAAAAGTCCTTTATCTCTTCATGCAGCCTGGAGAGAGTGAGAGAGAAATTAATAATTGTTACATAATCTGCTTCCCCAAAGAGAGATTGGATGATTAGCAATAAAACTCTTTAATGTTTAACACAAATACTTGGGTGTTTTGGCGGCACAATACCACATATTTGAAGTTGTTTATGATAAGCCTGTTTTCTTGACTGAGAGCATTATTCCATAACAATAAATAGCCCGATAACATGGCACATGCGAAAGTGTGCACAATCAAAATAGCCATTCCTGAAACATAAAGTACTTTACATATGAATGTTACAATTTCTATTACAAGTTATTCATTTAGTGCATGCTTGGTCAATGAATCAATGAATTCTTCAATATATATAATCAATAAACAAATCAAAATGACATAAAACTTTTTTTTTTGCTTACAGGTAGGCAATTAAAAATACTATTTACCACAAGTCAGAATACTATGGCCCAATCCTAATTCTATACTGCTACCACTTCGCCTTCCCCTAGAACCTTGAAAATGAGTGTGAAGGTGTAGGGACAGAAGTATTCCCCTAAGGACACCACTTCACTACACACCTCATGTCTACACAAGTGCACACGTTGCCAGCACACAGTGAGCATTTTCAATTCATTCATACAGAACCTGAGCGCACCACTGCTCTTTATTAATGTCATCAAAAGGCAGTGTGGTGCGTCTTACGTTTTTATAACTGAAAAGTGCATTTGGTGCGATCGGCCCAGCTTGTTAAGTTGTTTTGCATAGTATTTAGACAAATGCTGTTCATTTTCAGCTCAAAAGCATACAAGCCTCCGGGTCTCCTCAGGCGTCGCTGTAACAGCTGCTGAATCATGTTGCAAGAAACATAAAAATGAACTGTATTTACAGAGCGCTCATATTCATGCATGTAACCACAACAAACAACATTAACATTGTACCAGATGTGCCACCAGAATTTTCCGACATGCTGTGCTATTCTGTCAAGTAATTGAAACATCGGTTTTTAGAATTTAAACTATTGTGTAATAGGTTGTGGTGATTAGCAAGTGACAATAAAAAGAAATTCTAAACAACATTTTGAAGATCATGACTATAACACATTCCCTCTTTATGTATGTACTAAATAATTAATAGATATGTAGAACATTTTATTTATTTATTTTTTTTACATATTTTGTGGGTCTCATTGCCTGCTTTTGCAGCTAATGTATTCAGGGAAAAATTTTGACCACCCAAAAAATCTTTGTTTAAGGGGCTATTTTGCCCTTCCTCTTACCCCTACACCCCAAGCACTACAGAATTGCGACACGCCTACCCCTTCTTGTGAATGCATGAACCAAGGAGTAGAGATAAGCGGTAGGGTTAAGGGGTGGATTTGGGATTAGTTCTAATTCAGGATACCAGACAAATAAATAAACAAATTCACACCCTAGTCACAGGTAACAAAAGAGAAAGCTTGTGAGGCTTTTGAGACTGGAAGAGTGTAGCTTGGTGCTGCCTCATTAACATTTCTCATCATCTGAACCTAGAAAGCAGCACACCATTCAATTAACCCAATATGACCCAGCATTTCAAGCTCATTTCAGCCTGTGTGCTACATTATATGTAATGCTGCATGAGAGACCTCAGCAAAAATAATATATATGCAAGCTGCTTAAAGCAGCAGTAGTAAATCACTAAAAGCCGTCTACTCAACATACTGAACTTGCATGCCACCAAGACACCTGCTAACACCTCTACCTGCTATCTCTTAATAAATCTATTCTAGTGCTTGCCTGCTGTCAATCGCATGAACAGCGCCAAACCTGAAGATGTCTAACAAATACACCTCAATCCTCACTCACACACACATATAGCTGCTGCAAGTGGTTTTATCATTCTGTACAAGTCGTGCTGAGTTTGCTCAGGCATGACTCAAGTAATATCCAACAACTCTCCTGTAGCTCAAACTTGGCACTAGCAATGACAAAGTTGAAAGCAAATGCATACACGTAAATGAGAGCAATAGGAACATATAGGAGACATTTTCACACCTGGCTTCTGAACCTGGCCCATTTAGGTCATCAGGACAGTTAGTATTTGTTAAACAAAAGTTTTTCTTTGTTTAAGCTGCGAAATCCATCCTCAAAAATAGAATTCAATTAATTTAAACATTGTAGTGTTTTTATACTAATTCTGGTCAAATATTTATGTGGTTATTTTAATATTAATTTAATTAGCAAATATAATTTCTGGGAGTAAGAATGATAGTTCATCTTATTCATGTTTTGTTATAATTATTGAATCACTATTGGTTCTTATTTCTCTTGCTTGATTTTGTACTAAAGCGAGTTTTTTAAATATTTGATTGTTTTCATCTTATGTAAAAAAAATTCAATGATTAATTTAATACATTTGTATGCCTTTTCTCCAAACTTTTCCATGGACCCCCAAAACTCTATTGTTGCCTCATTGGGTCCCCAGACTCCATGTTTGAAAACCCCAAGCTTAAAGATGCAAACAAAAAAATAAACAAAATAAAATATTTCTACTACAAAACAGCAATCCAACATTGCCTAAACTGGTACACGTTGAAGTCATAGTTTTGTCTTAAAGAAAGGAACATGCAGGCTTAAAACGCTCTTGGAAACGTAAATGGTAGAAACAGAAATGTTCAATAGGCGACTCACTATTCACTTGCATTTGAAACTCGCTTATTGCCATGCACTTGTTCATTTGTGGCTGTGCTTTAGTCTTAAGTCAACTAGCTTTTTAATTGGGTTTTCAAACACACAACTAGATTTCTGATTGAAAAGATTCAACATTGGAAATAGAAAACAGGGCCCAAAATCTGCCCAATTATTTTACAAATGTGTGCCCCACTTTAGCTGACACACAATCTACACAGTACATTTACCCAGTTTACAGAGTACCTGACTTGCTGTCTGACATGCATCTCTTAAGAAGAGCGTATGTCTTTCTTCCAGAGGTTTTAAACAGAATCAGAATTGAAACTGAACTAGAGTGGACGCTGCAATTACACCTACACTAAATGAATGTTCTGCTTTGGTTTTTCTATATTTGCTAACTGCTAGAGATTTCTAACATTAAAACATTGTTCTTTCACAATGTCACCCTGACAGTAAGTCAATGTTGGTGGGCTGCATTTTATTCATTTGCACAAATCCAAATAACGGTTTACATACATTTATTCATTTAGCAGTCGCTTTTTTCCAAAGCAATGTACAGGTGAGGATACATCCCCAAATCCCAGAAGCATCATTTTTGTTTGACCAAAGCAATTTCTGACATCATTTAATCTTAATAAAGGTTCATTTATTAGTTATGTGAGAAGCAAAAGGATTCCTTACGTCATCCATCATTCTGGACAGTTCAAATCACACCCTAAAGAACAACTTGCACTCTAGGAATTCTAGGCATCTCATTACTTGTGAATGTGACTAATTAAAATGCTAAGCATTATTCAAAAAGATTGAACAATATACATGTCGAATCAAACGTGAATTCAGAAATTCCTATTTTCTATCTCAAGAAAGATCTTAGTACGGTCACCCACGCTGCCCAAACAAGCAAATCCTGCAAAGCTGTGAGCATAGACATCAACAAAGACACACACAAACACACATGTCTCTTGGGGTCTGATCAGTGTCTAAACACATTTTTGTCTAAATGTACTGGTGAAACACAACTGCATGAGAAAGTTGTGCCCTGGGCAGGACGCTCCGCAGAGGCAGTCTGACAGCATTCATAAGAGCAGGTCATAACTGCAACACCAACACACCCACTGCAGATGCACACTCACCACCACACAAGTTTAGTGCTCTGGGACACGAGGTGGGACATGCAAACAAAAAAAAGCAGACACCAAAGGTTGGTCGGTACAGCTATCTTTGTGGGAACTTGCTATGCTTCGGCTATTTTTTTGTTTTTTTACATGCACCTAATATTAATTTATATCCACTAAACCCAACCTTCAGAATTCTTTTTTTTTTCTTCAGATAAGCACAATTTTGAATTTTAATAATGTATTAGCCTACAAGACAATAGCATTGAACTTTTTATGCTCCAAAAATGTAACACTTTACTCAATATTTTAGTTACTGATCCCAGCTAAATCTGAATGAAAATTGCTACACCAAATGTCTTTTATCTTTAAGAAAACATTTTGTCCTCACAATGTTGAGAAGATAAATGTTCTGGATTTTTACAATTTTCAAAACAACTTCATACATTTGTGTTAGGGATGCTTGAAATAATCGATTAATCGTTAACCGAAAGGGTGCGTTTGTAACCGATTAATGGTATCAGTTAACGAATAAAAAAATATTCTTTTATATATTTTTAGAGTTTGGCTGCATAAGGGGCCAATCGAATGCGCTTTTTGCGCTAAGAGGAGCATCTTTTGAATGGTTTACTAAAAGCCGCAAGGGTTTTGCACTTGGCTCATCCCAGAGCTGCAGTGTTTGTGTTGTCAAGAAAACTACAGTGAACTTTTAAAGAGCATGGATTCCACTACATTTATTCTTCCATGGCAGGGCGCCACATCAAAATGCATACCTCCGCAGCTACATTACAGCTTCCCATTCAAAACATTTTGTTATTGTTGTTGTTTTTAATAGCGGGTTATAACTGCACCAAAACAGATTAAAGGATAAGTGAATTACAAAAGCGCAAACTTTTCTGTAACCGTAGTAGTAAAGTGCGATATTTGTTAAACCCTTTAGGGTTACGTGCTGACTGACTGACAGGTGCATAGTGCGTGAAGCCAGCAAACATGATGTAGCTTTCAGTTATGATGAACACATTTTCCATAATTTTAATTTATTTATAGATAAAGGTCTGTGGTTCTGCACACAGTAACTTTATCTTGCTGGAGTTTTTAGCCGTTTCACTTTTCTTCAGGGAGCATTAATGCCGCTCTACAGCTGTATTGGAGACATTCAGAAATATTCCTAGCAAATCTAATAAATGTTGGAGACATACACACAGCATAAACGCACTAAATCACATTTCAGCAGCATTT